CCTATCCTAGCCATCCTACCCAAAGTGTTTTCCTCTGGCTAGTCCCTAACTAATCTTCCCCATTTTTGCTACCACAATCTGTAATGTTCTTCTTTACTTGTGTACTTATTTATTGTCTGTCTTTTCCATCACACCTGTTGACTCCTTGAAGGCAGGGGCTTTGTTTACTGCTGTATCTTCTGCAATTAGAACTGAACAAAGCATGTTAAAAAAAAAAAAAAAAAAAAACCCTCCAAAACCAGTTGCTGTCAAGTTGATTCTGACTCATGGTGACCCTGTGTGCATCAGAGTAGAACTGTGGTCCATGAAGTTTTCAATGGCTGATTTTTTGGAAGTAGATCGCCAGGCCTTTCTTCTGAGGCATCTCTGGGTGGAATTGAATCATCCACCTTTTGGTTACTAGCTGAGCACTTAACTGTTTGTGTCACTCATGGACTCTACATACAACAATAACAAACAAACAACAACCTATCGCTGTTGAGTCCATTCCAACTTATAGCGACCCTATAGGACAGAGTAAAACTACCCCATAGAGTTTCCAAGGAGCAGCTGGTGGATACAAACTGTTGACCTTTTGGTTAGCAGCTGAGCTCTTAACCACTATGCCATGAGGGCTCTACATAGTAGCTGTTAAAAAAACAAATAATGAATTAATTGAAGATCCTCTCTACTGAGTCTTTCCCCTTAGCCTATTGACATTCTCATTTCCCTATCGTTAATCCTGCACCCGCTTCCAGGTAGTGCTCTAGCTCTAGACTTCCCTTTTAGCCAAGCTTCTGGAAAGTACAGTCTATACCCAATGCACCTCCCTTTATTCCTGAACATACTGTCCTCTGGCTTCTGGCTCCACTATTGCACAGAAAGTATTCTTGTTAGGGGAAGACTATTTGCCAAATCCAGTGCTTGCTTCTTAGCTCTTACCTTACTTCACTTGCCTGCTTGACACTGTTGAGCCTTCCTTTCTTCCTGAAACTCTTCCGCATTGACTTCATACTCCTGTTGTTGTTGTTAGGTGCCGACGAGTCAGTTCTGACTCACAGTGACCCTGTGTACAACAGAATGAAACACTGCCTGGTCCTGCGCCATCCTCACAATTGTTGTTATAGTTGAGCCCATTGTTGCAGCCACTGTGTCAATTCATCATATTGAGGGTCTTCCTCTTTTTTGTTGACCCTCTACTTTACCAAGCATGATGTCCTTCTCCAGGGACTGGTCCCTCCTGATAACTTGTCCAAAGTATGTAAGATGTAGTCTCGCCATCCTTGCTTCTAAGGAACATTCTGGCTGTACTTCTTCTAAGACAGATTTATCCGTTCTTCTGACAGTCCGTGGTATATTCAACATTCTTCACCAACACCATAATTCAAAGACATCAATTCTTCTTTGGTCTTCCTTATTCATTGTCCAGTTTTCGCATGCATATGAGGCGATTGAAAACACCATGGCTTGGGTCAAGTGCATCTTAGTCCTTAAAGTGACATCTTTGCTTTTTAACACTTTATAGAGGTCTTTTGCAGCAGATATGCCCAGTGCAATGCGTTGTTTCATTTACTGACTGCTGTTTCCATGAGTGTTGGTTGTGGATTCAAGTAAAATGAAATCCTTGACAACTTCAATCTTTTCTCCATT